CGGCAGTGGAGTATAGTGGAAGCCACACATCTGGGCGGCTTTCTAACAATGCTGTTAATTCGCTTTGATCTATGAAAATGGCGTACATATATGATCGGGGTTCACGGTTGGACAAATGTCTATTTTCTATTATCAATATTGTTTGTTAAACCAGCTGCTGTTACTAGGAGTGGACATGCCTTGACTATAAAATACTATAGCACTTTAATACTAATAGAATGAACTTTCACCTCCAGTACTCGTTCCACAACTTGGTCGTAGTACTTAGTACTGGTTAGTACTGAAGGCATCTCTGGCCGCAAGCTAATATAACCCTAAGTGGTAAGCCCAAGGCGGTCAAAGATCCGAGCCAATCAGAAGGTGTTGGACTCCGAGAACTGGAAGCCATCTTATCGCTCCCCTGCTTTCCACCACAGTACATGTTGCGACGCCATCCAGCCGTTTGGACTGTCTATCTTATGGAAAGAGTATAGAGGTGCATGCCTGTCCCTCGTACGAGACTAAATGGGCTTTTCACATAAAACGACCACGAAATTCTTTTGGGACATCCCTCAGAGGCCTATATCAGCACTAAGAGGCAGTGGATGTGAATACAGGATTGACTAGACACTGAAAGATGACCCTTTACATGTCATCTCTATGGTGATTGTTGGTCATGTAATGCTGCGATAACATTTTTATATCATATTGCCATGTCAATGACCAAGCTACGCGACGTATATCTTTCTTTGAGACTGACTCTGGTCATTCCAAAGTTTGGTATTGTTTGAACTCCTTACATTCCCCATTCCGGAAACCCATCATACTCTGGACTATGCGTTTGCCAGACGCTCAGATATCACAGACCCAAGAAATGTCTTGTGTATCAACACAGGATAACAATTTCTGGATCCACAGTCATCATCCTTCTGTCCCTGAGCCAACAGGCAGCACGGCTACATATATACCGGCTGTCATGACCCCAGAGTTAGAAAATGAAAACCTACCAATACCAACGGAGGAATTTTCATCAAGTGATACATACGGATCGGTTGAAAATCGCGATGGATACATTCCAGTGGGTATTCTAAAGAAGTACATCGCGCAAGATACCGATGCTTTATCGACACAATGTGATGACTTCCCCCAATCAGAAGTTTCTAACTTGGAAAAACACCACTGGATCTGGACCCATACATATCAGAAAGACCATCGCTGGAGTTATATTCGTGTGTATGTCTTGCCTGATGATGTAGGTCGCAAGATTATCCCACGCTCGAGTACGCCCTTGAGGCGTGCACTTAAGATCATCATGGCGAAGATTGACCGGTCGCCCGCAGCATGGTCTGGGTGCTCTTCTCTAGACAATATGACAAGTAGTAGCTCCCATAACTCGAACGAGGATGAGTCGCTGTGGTACATCTTCAATACTTTGGAAAACCCTGTTCCCAATCCGAACTCGATGAGAGACCAGTACACCAAGAAAGCCATGCAACAACTGCTTTCGGTAACACCCACAAGGGGTGAGGATGGCCTTGATGACTCCGACAACGGCGCAGACCTACCTAGACAATATTCTCGCGTTCCGTCCTTGCGAACGGCCCTATACCCCTATCAGCGCCGCTCGGCTGCCGCCATGATTCAGCGGGAGGCGCAGCCAGCACCCATGCTTGATCCTCGGCTTAAGCCTTATGTCACTCCTACAGGTCAGGAATACTACTACGACAAAGAGGAAGGTAATATCATTCAAGAAAAGAGAATGTATTCAGAGCCTCGTGGCGGTATGTTGTTCTGAGTAATTTATCTTCTGATCTGCTGACTTATAGAAGGTATTCTTGCTGAGACTATGGGCTGCGGGAAGACTCTTATATGCATAGCTGTCATATTGGCAACCCAAGGTCACTTTCCTCAAGTTCCTCTAGAGTATCAGGACGTGGAGCTCCCGGTTCGGCCACAAACTGGAAGTCTTCTCAATATGGCAGCCGCAACTGCAGGCCGACTATCCTTGCCTTGGAAGAGCCATTTCGATCTTCTGAGGCGTGCCGGTGCCTTTTTTGGTAGATGTATTGAAGTATGCAAGGAGCATCGCGGAGCATATACCATACCTCCACCACCAGCAAGATACGGAAGCCGGACTGGTGTGGCTTATCCGAGGCCACCTCCTCGGCAGATTCTTCTCTGTTCAGCTACTTTGGTAGTTGTACCACCTAACCTTGTAAACCACTGGAAAGATGAGATAGCCAAACATGCTGAAGGAGTCAACGTTCTCGTGATCCAGGACAGCGCAGATCCGGTACCACCACCAGACCAACTTTTGGACTTTGATATCGTTTTGTTTTCAAAAGTTCGCTTTGAAAAAGAAGCAGGTGCAGCAATCAACAATAGACGAAGTTCAGCCACTCCAGACTCATCACCGTTGACGAAACTCCATTGGCTTCGGATCATTGTTGATGAAGGTCATAATGTAGCTGGTCATGGCCATCGAACAAACATGGTTCATATTTTGGACCAGCTTCACGTCGAGCGTCGGTGGATAGTGTCTGGAACGCCGTCTAGTGGGTTATATGGAGTCGAGGTCAGCTTAGCTTCGCATGAGGCCAATGTCACTAGTGACTCTGACCTGACAGAGGCTACAACGGCTGTGCTTCATGGGAAAGAGAAGACCACTGTTATTGACAGTGAACTCAAAGATCTTGATGAAATTCGACGTATTGTTGTCGGGTTCTTAGATTTGAAACCATGGTCAAATTCTCAAGCCAATGACCCAGCTAACTGGACCAAATACATGAAACCTGTCGGAGAGGATGGAAAGCGCCGGAAGGCACAGTCGCTCCGTGCGACCTTACAAAGTCTTGTCGTGCGGCACCGCATGGAGGTTATCTATAGCGAGGTTCCTCTTCCAAGGTTGTACAACAGGGTCGTGCGTCTCGAGCCGACGTTCTATGACAAGTTAAATCTCAACTTGTTCATTTTCATCCTGGCTGTCAACGCGATCACTTCCGAACGCAAGGACCAGGATTATATGTTCCATCCACGTAACAGAAAACATCTGAGTCTGGTGATTAATAACCTGCGACAGGCTGGCTTTTGGTGGGCTGGTTCCGATGGTAACATCCAAGGAACGATCGATGTTGCCTTGAACTACATGGAAGCAAACAGAGAGAGAATGGCTCGAAATGACGTGGATATGCTCACAGAGGGCATTCAAATAGCTCAGAAGGCGATCGCCTGCCAGAGCTGGAACGCTTTCAAACAATTCCATGAATTGGGAGTGTTTATCCAAGATTTTCCTTCCCATGCTCGGGGCATGTGGGCACTCTCACCATCGCGATCCGATGTTGAGCCCCTGTTGTTGGGTATCTCACAAGCCCACAAAGCCCAGAATTTTGTTACCGCACGCCTCAATGAGATATATCCGGAAGAAGGTCTTTCTGGAGCGGGCATAAAGGCTAGGCTTGCGCTATCCAGCCGACAAGGACACCCGGATTCCGTGAAAACTAAGAAAACCACGCCTGATAAGCTGAGTAGTTGTACTGTCAAAACGTTACCGCCATCGTCTCCTCTTGCACAGACAAAATTGGTTGCAACAACATCTGCAAAACTGACATATTTGTTGGATCGAGTCTTAGAACTTCATACAGAAGAGAAGATCATCATATTCTACGATAACAATAACTCTGCGTTTTGGATCGCAGAAGGGCTTGAGCTGCTTGGTGTTGATTTCCGTATCTACGCGAGCACATTGAAGCCGAAAGTTCGAGCAGCTTACTTGGAACTATTTCGAGAGCAGGATGACGTCCGGGTTCTCCTAATGGATCTACATCAAGCATCTCACGGGTTACACATTGCGAATGCTTCGCGCGTATTCATTATCAACCCTATCTGGCAACCTAACGTGGAAAGCCAGGCGATAAAACGAGCACACCGCATTGGCCAGACTCGACCAGTTTTCGTAGAGACTCTCGTTCTCAAAGACACTCTGGAAGACAAGATGTTGGAGCGCAGAAAAACCATGTCAGAGAAGGAAATGCAGCAAGCGGAAAGAGACCTGCTCGATGATAGCACTATGAGCTCTATTATCCAGAACGAGCACTTCCTCCACATGGCAGATGACGAAGACCTCACCGGCCCAGCGTACTTGAAGCAACCGCCCGGTTTCTTCGACCGCCACGGACTCCCAATTCCCGAAGCGAACGAGTCCCCTTCCTCTGCCAAGAAAGCCCCCCGAAGCCGCAAGCGGGGATCCGGTCCTATTGACATGAACATGGATACCACGAGAGACTCAGATGTGGGGGTGCTTAAACGGAGGAGATCGGATGGCACTGGGTTGCACTCTGGTGGTACCTCTGAGACATTTCCGTCATTGATGAACTCCAGCGACGGCACTGACGAGAGTACCAATAACCATGTATCCATTTTCAACTGACTTCGTGGGGCGGTGCCTCTGAGAAATATATCGTATGATATACTATATCCAGCTTGACTTGTCTGGATGGATGCCGGACAGGAATGATTTGAATTAATGTACGGAGTACTGTTAGAGAAATGATGCTAAATTATGAAATCGTGCCCACATATACGCTCCCAAGTAAACAAATATGCAAAACCCACTAGACATGCAAATCTCTATCATGAAATTGGCTACTAATATCAATCCTAAAACATACCCCATAATAAACCCGCATGCCTCCAGAAATAGCTACACAACAGCGCTAACCAAATCCGGCAATCAAGCACATTAGAACTCACACCTGAAAACCAAGGCATCAACAAGAATCAGCATACCCAAACCAAAAACCACGCTAAGAAATGGTATCATGTATAAAGACCCACACTGCCTATAAATCCTCCCCCCCACCTTCTATCAATACCACATCAGAGTTGAAGTCACGGTTCCCTTCCCGGAACGGTTCCATTGGGGTCTGTCAATCTACACACAAACGCTTTCGTTCAGCGGACCTCCTCGCCGTCTCCTGGCCTGAAAGAAAGAGGAAAAGGGAGAGAGAGAAAGCGTCACCACAATGACGTCCCAAACCGCTGTAATCGGGATCTCAGGACCCTCATCTAGCGGTAAAACGACCCTAGCTCGACTGCTACAGAGAATATTCTCTAAAGCGAACGAGAGTCTTTTCACGTTCATTGTCCATGAGGATGACTTTTATCTCCCCGATGATCGGTATGTACACAACATACCCTGCATACCTGCGAGGAACTCTAGATTGAATTTTTCTTTTCTTTTCTTTTCATCTGTAGTTCGTTTCTCAAAATAAAATAAAAAGTTGAGACAGAATAAGAGAAAGCGGAGTTGTTAACACTAAGTCCCAGAATTCCATACACAACGACCGCATCCGGGAAAACAGTCCAAGACTGGGATACAATCGACGCAATCGATGTTAAATTCCTATCTTCGGCACTGTCTTACGTCCGTGACCATGGACATCTTCCGCCCCGTTTGAAGAGTATCCAGGATTTCAATGAGAAGTCAGACTCGGGTGTTGATGAGGGGACGATTCTTCAGTTGCAGAAGGAAGTGGGGGGTCGACTTCGTTCGCTTTTTCGGCAGCAACCAGGTTCCGGAAATGAAGGCACTGTAGCTCCGGTTCAGAGTACGATTGCTTTTCTGGAGGGGTTTCTATTGTACAGCCCTCCCGAATCTGAGGATAAAGACCATGTTCTTCGACCCGTGCATGAGAACATTGACGTGCATCTGTTTTTGCCAGCACCATATGATATGGTGAAGTCGCGGCGTGAGAGTCGGAGTGGGTATGTGACGAGTGGGCCTGCACCAGAGCCCACTTCATTACCACAAAGAAGCTCAGTATCCGATGAAGTGGACTTGGAGGGCGAAGATGATCGGCCGCCGCAAAACTTCTGGACGGACCCACCAGGCTATGTGGACGATATCGTGTGGCCGCGGTATGTGCAGGATCATGCATGGTTAATCCTGCCTGAAGGGGACTCACAGAAGAGTGGCAATTTGAGCACAAACTCTCAAGAGTTGATCAACAAAGTGGGACAAGGAGTGAACCTGAGAACAGATGCTGGTGTCATTGTAGCTCCTGGACGGGGCACCAAGCCTATGGTAGATATTCTAGAGTGGGCGGTTGAGGAGGTGTTGAAGTACTTGGAGACCACTCAACGGCGATAGTAACCGAGTTATCTTGGAAGAACCCAAATAGAAGAAAGATGAATCGTTTCATGCATATATGAATTACGATATATGTGATCCGTAGAGATACAAGTGTCCCATTTCATTTTCATCACTTCTGTCATTATCGATCTGGAGTGCAACCGATAACGACTCCCCGATTGACCGACCTGCTCATGCCATGCGATAAATGGGCCCTTTCCAACCTAGTAGATAATCGATTTGATCCCTCAAGGAAAACTTTTTACCTGACTCCACGCCTGGTGCGGGTGCGTTAGCTGTCTGTTCTTCCGCTCGTACTTTCTCTTCAACTTCCTTAACGTCTTCATCGAAATCAATAGCTTCCTGCTGATTCAAGATTCCTTCATTAATAGTGTTATTGTTATCGAATAGCGATGCGTGGTCAATGTTGTCAGGGGTTTGGTTGAAAACCCTCTCAGTAAAGTTGTTATACTTAGAGCTCGGCTCCCCGCAACCCGGAATCTGTCCGTCCACTCTCGACTTATCAAGCAAGCCAACATTTGCCTCAATAGCCGGTCCCCAGGGCCGACGGAAAGCTCTAGAATATGCATGGCTGAGGAGGAGGCATCCCAGCGTGCCACAGACTGTAAAAGCAACACCAAGAGCGAGAACAAACAAGGTTTTCCGAGACGCTATCCAGGTAAGCAGAGGGACATTGGCTGGCGTCCATATGGCTCTTAACGGCCTTGAAATAGCTTCTATTACCGAGCCCATATATTGAAATCTGACCATCCGTTCAGGATCTTCAGACTGATCACCACCATTCACAGCTTCTGAACTTCCTCCGCTGGTTTCATCTTCTCTTTCAAGAGCGGATATGGTACATCGGTAGCTTTGTTCGCCAGCGGATGCATTGGCATATAGCCTAGTAAACGTAGCGCGAAGTTGACTCTTAGCTCGTTCATCAGCATTAGTTGTTGACCCAGGATAGATTTGCGGCAGCCAGTTCCTTGCTGGGAAAGGCATGTTGACTAGCCAACTGATGCAGAACATTTCTAAGTCTCTTGGCGAGCATATGATTTGAAGGTGGGAGATACCGATTGAATGTGAACTACTACTGGGTATGTAGATCACCTGCAAGCTCGTATCCGGGGGTTGGAATCTGCATTGGAAAACCCCTTCTGGCCCTCCGTCTATGTCGAGAAAGAAGCAGCACTTCTCCGCCCAGAAGCAGCGTTCATGTAACCTCAGCGAGCACATTGCATGATATCTCACCGACAAAGCTGAATGTGTGTGCTTATTATCCTCTAAGGCAGGGCTTAATAAAGGATGTGCTTCAATTTCCTGGTCCACGACGAAATCCTTGACAATGCCATAATTTCTCTGGTCAAAAGATCGCATTGGTATCACAAGATCCCTCTTATTCACAAATTCAGCGAACAAGCAATCTTCCACCATTCTAAATCTGCGGAGATCTGTAGTGCGAAATTCAACACCGTACTTGTCAGGAATCAGGAAGAGAATGAACCCACTCTCCCCCGTCGTCAGCTTGGGCAGACCTGGTATGACTAGATCATACCAATCATTGGATATCTTCCCGAGCAGAGCGATCGAGACGGTGACGACGACCTTGTAAATTCCTGCGCGGACATTTTCCGGGTGCTGAACGAAGAGAATACTATCAACCATGTTAAAATCGGGCTCGTTCTCAGAAGATACACGGTGTACGGGTTCGTGGGTATCATTGGGATTATGTTCGTAATGCCCAACGGGATTTCGTTCACAATTATCAGAATCTGAGCCTGCTTCTTGCTCTGTTCCTAGCGGTGGAGCTGGCCTAGTTGTGGGGTTGTTGATCAAGTAAGCCTCAAGTTCTCTCACCGACTCTGTACCAGATATAGGAGGCATTGGTGGGCCGCTGGACGCGCTTTCCTGGCCAATGCTGGAAGAAATGAGGGTTGTAAGAACTGTATCTTGACCACCGATGTCCATGTCTTTGATTTCACAAGGGTTCTTAGTTGCCGAGGTGATTTCCAGCCTTTCCTCATCTCGTGGCAAACCTGTGTCAGCTATTATTGTCTTGTGAGGACTATCTGGGCTTTACATACCATGTGCATCGGCAAGGCATATTTCTGTGTTGGATGCCTGTTTCACTCCCACAGCCATCTCCGACAGTAAGGCTGGCTTGCTGTAAATCCCTTGATAAGAACATGGTTGCCGTTGGCTTGTTTTTCCCATCGTATCGTCTCTTTCAGGGTGTGCTGTTTTCTCTAGTACATCTGGACGATAGTCTGGCGTATCGGGATTGTGAATGTCACCATCATATGGAGTTTTCCGGTCTGGTTGGGCATCCTTCAAGTTTGAGTCAACATCTGCCAAGCAAGCATCTGTAGCAGTTCTTTTCCCTAGGTTCAACATTCTGCTCTGGTCATCGCGTTTTGCAAAGTTAGGACGTAAGCCAGGGGAATGTCCACCAGGCAATAAAGACCTCTCCGTGGAGCTGTCAACTTCATGGTCTGGGTCCAGTACACGAGTTGTAGAGCTCGTTTCGCCATCAACTTTAACAAAGGAATGGTCGTTGATGGCTTCTGGAATTTCAGAAAAGCCCACGCAGTCCATACGGCCTTCCTCGCCATCAGAATAGATTGGCTCAAAAAATTCGAACAGAGGACTTTGAGGGGGAACCTCGCTGGGCTGACTAGTCTGACCCCATTTCTTGGATAGAAATTGAATTGAGGCTTTGCACAAAAGGACAGTAGGCGACCTGGTGTCTAATATTTGTGTCCGCGTGTTTGGGGTGCCTTGTACCTGTAGATTGGCAATTACTATCATACGATCTATATATGAAGTTCTATATGACGACAACATACCTCGAGCGAAATCCTAAGTTCTGCCCGCCCATTGACCTCACCGTCCCACGTGCCTCTGATTTCCAGATTGCGGACCTGGGGTGAGCCCTGGGGTTCTGGGTCTAGCTCGGGAGACGACATGGTTTGTGTCCAACGCGCGACGGAAGGAGGGCCACTTAAAAGGACGAGTACATCCGAGACGCAGTTGGGATTCAATTATGATAAGGAGAGACAATGAGAGGGAAAATGAGAGTGTGGAAGTAAAGTGGGGTGAGGGAGAGCGAAAGTGAGTAAGTGAATGAACGAAAAGATCACCTGGCAACCATGCCCGGTTGCCTAGACAGGAACGCGCTCTCCTTGACCGATAGACCAGGTCAGTTTACAACAACTTTGAGTCTTTTTCTTTCTTTCTTTCTTTCTTTCTTTCTTTCTTTTTTTAGATTAATAATAGTATGGATTCCAGAATCCTATCAAGCAACGCAGGTCGTAAGCTTCACCGCGCTCACCTCACCTCACATCCTGATAGCGTTCAAGCAAATATGTACAGAGGAAGTCAAAAACATCTCCTTATCCTGAAATCAAAGCCAAAAGGCAGCAAAGATCGTAATACAAACCATCAGAAGAATGCCCCGCTAATACGGTTTCCCTTTTTTATGTCCCCAAGCGCCTTGTATCTCCCGGAAGCCACCCATTCTGTTCCCATAAAAAAGACAAAACACCAGTCCGACAGTCTATCCGGAAAGAAAATCCAAGGTACTCGAATCCAAACGTCCCACGCGGCGTATCATCATTCCCAAACAAGCAAACGTAGAAAATAAACGCGATAACATGAAGACCATAATCCTACCAATACCGTGATGACAAGCACGAAGCCTGTGCCCATTTAGCGGGGTGTTCCATTAGACGAGCCGGGGTGTTCGAAAGCTGCCTGGCCAGGCGCAGAGCCATATCGATCTGCCTCATTCGTACCAAGCGGCTGTGAGGGGAGGATGGGGGTTGCTGCTTGAGAAGTTTGGTCAAAATACCCTCGTGCTGTTGCGCCGTTGGCCCCTTGTGCAAAGTTGCGACTCCGTTGCAAAGGGGGAAGAATTGTAGAGCTCGCCTGGTACTGTGGCCGTGCATACCCTTGCTGCATCATCGCACCCGTTGAATCCCCCGTCTACTCAAGGATGTTGGTAGTTAGCTTCTCGTCAAAGGATTCAGTGGCTTATGGTGCCCATACAGGTGTGCCCGGTGGGTTTACCATGCCCAGCGACTGCATTGTCGCCTGCTGACTTGACCGATTGTGGGCCCCTGGGTCTTGCATTTGAGGAACCTGAGCCGAGGGCGGAATACCGTACGACATCTATGCGAAGTGTGAGTAATGAAATGACGCACTATGGGTGTTTGGCCCTTAATCGTCACCCCCGCCGTTATGGGATCTTGTCGACGGGGGTGACGTAGGTACCGGGCTAGGCGAGGTCTAACGAACCGCGTAATCTGGAACACCCGTGTGTCCTGTAGGATACCCTTGCATGATAGGAGTTGGATAGGCCCCTGGTTGATTTGCATACATAGCCGCGGTTTGCGGATAAGCTTCCATTTGGCGCATCCGCCCATCGTCATACATGCCTCGGTTACCAAAGTCGATTGACGTGCGTTGCCGCTTGACCGGGCCAGCATAATAACCGTAGTCTCGACTCGCTGCAGCTGCAGCTGTTGGGTACCCTCCAAAGGTATTACCAGGCATCTGAATCGAAGAACGATCTGGAGAACGAGGAGGAACCGGCTGGGGATAATCCTCCGGCCGTGGGACTGATCGCTTTCTGATCCTCAAGTCAGTTCAAGAGCCCCGGCAGTATGGGAGACGGGCGTTTCTTGTATGGGCTGACACTCACATCAAGGTCCGCGGCTCTTTTCGGATCCTGAGTTTTACACCTTGATCTGCGAATGATCTGGATAGGAAAGTCGACTCTGCCATTCCAGGGAAACTCTTTGGGGGAGACACTGGGGCTCGTCAGCGCCAAGGGTTTTAGCAGAGCAACTTCTCGGTGCAACCTTACCAGTGAAGCGGTCTGAGATGATGGACTTCAGATGCGTAACAATATCCCTGCAGGCCAAGTCAGCATATACGGTACTTTGTTCAGTTTCTCCAAATGCGCCCCAGGTCTCACGCAATAGTCCCTGATGAAAGGTATGCAGTGTTCTTAC